ATCGCTCTGCTGAGTGGGTGCTCTGAGATCAAGAACGAGGGTAGTGTGCCAAGTGCTCACTAATCTTACTACCTGAAAGGAGCGGGATGTGGCAGTAAGAATTCACAAACAATATAATAAGCTCCCCTTTCTTAAATTGCGTTTTTCAGTCTAACGAACACAACATAATTGTAACCGCCGAACAGCATGAGGCCATAAACAAAAGCGTTTATGTCATCAGCCTGATTGCCGCGTACCGCAGCGTGTAGATGTCCGTGGTTTGTATGCGGTATGCGACAGATATATGACGACACGGCTCCTGACTGTGATGAAAATAATGCGCCAAGTATTTTAGTTGGAAGAAGTCCACACATGAGAAGCCATGCACGTAATTCCAGACATCTCGTTTGTTTGATTCCCCTCATTTAGTGTGTTGGCGAGAAATATGGTTATCTCTGATCGCAACGGAATGCTGCTCTATTATCAAAGGTCGTCGCACCGCACCATATGTTGAACACCGGGGCTAGATCAGAATCATTCGACCATGGAAGCTCTGCCTGTTCCTCTCCTATTTCACCGGCCACCTGGGTGTCAGTAATTGGTGGATATCTCCAACAGCCTGGTTCATTGAATATTCCTTATCTTAATTATGGTCGTTATTTTATGAGTATGCTGTATGGTGCCGCGATGCAGATCGGTGCAACGTTGAACAATCATTAACGTTCGATAATGGGGCATCTGCTGCCTGCACCTCGACTCGAGTGCTCCGATCGTTCTGTTTGATAAACGAGTACATTTGGTAATGGGCGTCTAATTTTACGCGCACCATATCTGATCTGTGCATTTTGCAGATTGGAGTGAGTGGTGTTTATTTTGGTTTATCCTTCCGTTATTTTCCCCGCTTGTCATTTTTATTCGCGCGACGATTGATCTCCCTAACTGGCGTCGTAACACCGGAACATTTATTGGAAGCGGTAGACTAACTACCAATAACCTATGACAGTCATGCCGGTGCACTTTGGACAAGATTGCTCCTTCGCCGTGAGTTCATTGTCCGATTATCTATGTGTATTGCAAGCAGAGTAATATTGAGTGCATTGTTAGAGAACATTTTCTTTGTCAGACATCTGGCTGCACCATTTTGTTCGGGCCCCTGTCGGCGGGACATTATATAATGTATATTTTACAGGCCAATTTAATCGTTTGTGTTCGCCCCGCACCTGGCGCAGATTCCTTCGTAAGCGCGCGATTTATCATAATAAAATCGGACCTGATGTATTGCAGCCGATCAGCCTGATATCACCTGATCCCTTTTCAATGCTTCGCTGCCACCTTAGCCTGTGAAATGTTATCCCAATCGCTCACGACTTTGTTTTATAACTCAGTCAATCCCCCGCTGACTAGCAAGTTGGCGTTTGTTCTTTCATTTATTGAGCCGGCCGAAGCCAGCGCTTCTGCTGATGGCCCCTTCACTGGCGTACACCGGGAAGCCCAGGTTATCACAGGTGCGGGTCCTACTCTATTTGGCAGGTGCCGAGTCTGTATAGGGTCGCCCGAGCGATGCTGTCTTTCCTATGTGGAGCCAGCTGTGACTTGACGCGGGGTCCGCTTCCGTTTGTCTGAGATTGTTGCGCTGCAGAACTTCAGCGGCCGCGATGATGCTTATAACTATTCATCCTCGTGTTACCCACTGTTACTCCGCCTGCTACGATGAACAGTGCACGTCTGTTTGCGAGTAGTGACCGCTCTGCTCCGGCGCTAACACGTTCGGGGACAGCGCTCGTTATCAATCGCTAGTCTACTAGTGATAAGCTGTCGCTACTTCAACTGTGACTAGTGACGCCTCTGCTCTGACACCTTCATTGACCAGGGATAGTGTATCTGCGTTTAGTGATGGCTATTTCCCTCCCTTTCAACGACCTGGGACAGCGCCCGTCCGTCTCCACCTTTAAACGCCGTTTTGCCGGCACCCCGCGCGGCGGTCGGTCCGTTTTCTCCGGCACGCTGTCGCCGTCACCGGACTCTGGGTCAGGCCTGCGCGCTCACCCGTGACCTCGCGCCGGGCGCCGCCGAATTGGTCAGAGCAGGGGGCCCAAACCGGGCCGGCGGGGTGCAGGGTAGTCGAAATCTGGAGAGTCGCGAGTGGTTTGCTGTGTATCGTCAGGCCACATTTGGCGCTAGAAAGTGGGTCCATTGAGTGGGAATCGGCTGTGTGGGAAGGCAGGAGAGGGACGGAGACGAGCGGTTAGCCCCGGTTCAGCGCCGTTTATGCGGGGAGCGAAGTTCCCCAGTTCGTATGTGTGATGATTGGTTGGACACCGGAATGTCAAGTGTGGGAGTCCAGGGTGTCAACGACATGGTGGTTTACGGTGGAGCTTCGCTGAAAACTTGAGCGATTATATTGGCATGCGCCGGTTTCCTGCCTCATCCCTTGGCTCAGGTGCTCCGTGTATGAAGTGCCGGGCACGGTACATTTATCAATGCTCCATAGTTAGCTAACAGGCCGGATGGACGACCACGAACAGGTGTAATTCCACCATTGTTTCGCTCCGGTCGCGGCCTGCCGGCGCTGATCATTTGTCCGTCCCTTTGTACGGTGCCGGGTGCCGATGGCGCGTCCGACCGTTATCTGATCTAGACGGAGGCGCTTCAGAGGTGGCAGCACCGCAGACGGCTGCCAGATCGGACCGGATATGATAGCTGCTTATTGTTCTGGGTAGTCGGTAATAGTCGATACCTTCCGGTGCGTCCTACTCTTATGGCTTATTGGATCGTCTTGCTGTTTGATGACTCATTGACTTCCCCGAGGGGACTGACTTCGATATTAATCTTGCAATCGATCCTTTGTATCTGAAGAACATCATCATTGATCTTAATCATGCAATCGATCCTCTGCTTCTTACAAACATCGTTGCACCTCCCATCTGCTGCCATCCTCCGTCCGTCTGTCCGTCCGTCGGCCGGGCCGTCACAGTGGGCGCTCAACTGTGTCATGCAGCACGTGCTACCGCCGCGCCGCTCTGGGAAGCTGTCGGCACCGCTGAGTGGCGAGCGACCGCAGCAGACGGCGGCCACGCGTGCCTTCCCTCCGCCGCCGCTGCTCGGCAGCGTCACGGTCCTGTCCGCTGGAGCTCCGGAGACGCGACGGTGGCGCCACCGCAGTGCTGTAGGCGGCGATGGTGGCGCCACCTGTGGGAGTAGTAGAAAGTACTAGTTGTGTAATTGGGCGCTAGGTGTCGGTAGCTGGACCTCAAGGCTCGATCGAGGAACCTATGCTCCGGCTGGACAAGGCGAGTTACTTTATTTAGAATAAAGCATTGTTTTTAAGTTGAAGATGAAATGAGCAACAGCGCAGCCATGAAGTTGGAGGAAAGGGGCCCACCATGATATTCAGGGAAGCTGGTTTTTGGCTAACGGCTACGCCTTGTAATGATATGCCTGTGGTAAGGTATAAACAAGCTTGCCTTTATTCTGCAGCATGTCTGAAAAAAGTCTCTTCATTTGACATAACGTCCCTTGGCTGGCAAAGTTTCCGTATTTCTTCACAGCCTAATACAGAAAACAACACTCGAGCTTTGTGGAGCCCCCCTCCCCCCTCCCCATACCCTAATCTGATCAAGGCAGTACCAAGTATACAAAGATACTAAGGTGAAACGGTCAGGTCCCGTGGGCGGGGGCAACGCCAACAGCTGATCAGACGTCATGTCTGAAACGTGATGAATGGGTGTCCCGTACAGCCTTCGTCCTCACCGCTCTCTGTTCGAGACTGTACGACCTTGCGCCGCCGTCCGCTAGGTGGCAGTAGCGCGCCGGGCGGAGCTCAGACGCAGGGCGCTTGGCAGGGCGCTCGGCCCGGAGTGAGGGTGTTGGAGGTGTGTCACGGCGACTGTGACGGACCCAGTGTCAGTGTGACGCGGTGACGGAGTGGTGTGACGCGGAGTGGCGCTGCCAGCGGGCAGTTTGTGACGCGGGGAGGCGGTGCCGGTGTCGGCGCGGCCGCCGCTGGTCGCTGCTGCTCACAGCGGCTGTATCGGATACCACGTGCAGTGAGAGTAGGGCGTGTCAGTTCAGAGGAGAGCCGGGTCGGTGGACCTGGTGCCGCGATGGTGCAGAATGGCAGCACCACCGGACTGGTGATCCGGGAGCGCAGCGAACACGAGTGGGACCTGGTAGGTACTGGTGCGCGGCACCAACATCCCCCGTTGGGGAGGGGGCAGTTTGGAAACAGTGCGACCTTCGCGCGACCGGAACACCTGGTCACTGCACATGTAGGTCAGATCGCAGCCTGCACGGTTTGCGGTCGGAACTTGTCAGCTGGGTTATCGATAGGGTGGCGTGTCACAAACAAACCCAGCGGATAATAACATCCGAACCATTCCACTGATCGATACATCATTGACAGATCCTATCAGCCGTCATTGATTGAGCTCTCTGTGGGCTTCTGTCCCGCCTTATGGCTATCTCTATGATTCACTGGGAGCAAGTAGCTCCGTTCATAGATAGCAACTACCGCTGACAACTCTCGAGAGAGGTCAGACGGACGACGGTGTCATCCTTCCACGGTACAGAGTGGAGAGTTGAACAGGTGACCGACTCCGCCTCCTCCCCTCTGCCCCCTGCCGTCGGCTGCCTTGTCAAGGTCGCACGCTGAGAGTCCCTCGGGGGAGGGGGAGGGGTCAGGAATGCCTCACAAAGCCGTCAGTGATCCTGTCCATCGTATTGGATCTCAGGGAAGAGCTCATGTCTGGCTTCTAGCGGTATGGATTTGGGAAACTTACCAACGTTATTTTTGCGCCGACCTGATGCGGACTGACAAACGATAACAATGGCGAAATGAACTCGATAATTTTTAAGTTCATGCTTTCTCCCGACCACCCATTGAATGACAAAAAGTCGGGACCGAGTGGTAACTTTCCATCTGTCGACATTCCAGCACGGCCGCGGCCGCTGCACACAACACATGCTGTGAAATTTCCCTGCGGCGCTCTGCTGGACACCAGCCGGTGGTAAAGTGGCAGCTCTATTATGTAACTGTATTTAACTGATACAACTCAGAGAACACCTGATTAAACGCAATGAAAAGCAAGGGAACTTCCCTCGTCTAGCGCCTAAGGACTAACCTGGCAAAGCCGGCAAGAAGTGTAAATACTACGCATCTAATAGAATAAACATGTAAACATATATCCACAGCCGAACGACCAAGACGCCCCCTAACTCGTACAATGGGGCAACGTGGGTATTAACTAGTTTCTACACCTACAATAGGGCTGGTATCGTCACCCAGAAGCGGCGCCTCGTAACTTGGGCGCAAATGTACATTGGGATAAGCATGCGTACATACATTCGATTATCCATTAATGCCACGCAGTTACATTGAAGATCATATTGCATGAAGTCATTGACTGCGATACTGCGGGCGAAACTTATAACACATATGAGCAGCAACAACCCAATCACTGGAGAAATTAAATAGAGGTGAAATGAGCTAATTCAACATATCGGGCACCACAAACAAAACTACTGCTGAGACATGCGAATCAGATCGGTGCACAAAGCCATGGGGACAATGACACAAACGGCAGGAGCTTAATAATTTGGCGCAAACCACTGGACAACCTGACAAACCAGCATTACGTCGACGAAAATTCGGCAATGTCTGCCTGAATTATGGTGAAAATTACATCGACGACAGAATCATGCCACAAACAAAACGGTCCCGCTGCCGGCAAAACCACACAATAGCGGAAGATAAGAGGAAAGTCGTGTTTACATCCGATATTGAATTTGTGACATTTCTCATCTACAAAAGCTTGGCCGGATATCTAAGGGATTGCTAGGACACTGTATATCTGAATGAAAGCGTCAGCGACACCTCGCCTCCACTCACGACAGTGGCTCGGACTACTACAAGCATTGGTAACCACTCTCGACTAATTGCTTACTGAATAGCGCTTCCCTACCGATCACTCAATATATAAAGACGCAGCAGAGTCTCAATGCGAAGCAACGGTCACAGTATGATTTGATTCCAGTCCAGTCAGGATTCGGCGGGGTTGGGCTTCCTCCCACACAGAGCACGACTTATTACCTTTCACATGCCACCTTGAGTAGTGAAAAGGCGGCAACGTAACACAGGCAGTGGACATGAGGGAAACGCGATACAATAATCGCACAAGAGCACTCAAGCGTTGTCCCAACTCCCAACCAGTTACACAACATTCGGTGGTATAGCTGATAGAGTGCGCTCCTAAGCTGTCTGATCATGCTAACCACATCAGCTAATCTACTCATTTGGCTATGGCAATCTGGCTCACTAAGAAACTGTGTCTACAACGGAAGCATAGACATCTTCGGCGGCAATGAAGAAAGAAATTAGTATGCTTTGGCGTGTGATAAGGTATCACAATTGCTCGCATACTTTCATATAACAGAAAGGAACGATAAATCATTGCACACAAGCGAAAGAGCTCAAGTGCAAACAGACTGTAGCTTCAATAATCTCTCACACTGTTTCTGTTAACGCATTCACGTCTCAAAACTCTTGCTTTTACACAATAACATTTCATCCTTCCATCTATTACGCAATTCCGCCACTCATACACTCATCCTGCGTTCTCAAGACTGTCCTCACAGCGAGCAACTCTCCTCTTGAAGCCAGAGTCCTCCCTCTGCCCCTTTCCTCAAATCACCCAGATCCTCGCGGCTCCTTCCCATGTCATGAAAGATACTCAGTGTCCTCAGTCCTCACTGTCCTCACCGTGTCCTCAATGTGTCCTCACTGTCCTCAGGCGTCGACATTGTCCAGCAGTCTGTCCTCCTCAGTGGGAAGTCCAGCCCCCTGTCTGGGACGGCGACGGTAGAGGGCGATAAAGAAGCCCATCACCACCGACAGGAGGAAGAGCCAGGTGGCCCAGTAGAAGACGGCTCCGAAGATCCAGGCCTTGTAGGAGAAGCGCAGCAGCAGCAGGGCCATTCGGCTGAGAACACACTCGCCGGCCGGCGCGCTGGCAGTGCACGGCAGAACCTCTCGTTTCACGCTGCCGTCCGGCTGCACTTCGTCTTTGATGTAGTGCTGGTCGCCGTACATGGTGTACTGGGGCGCGATCGAGAGCAGCAGCACATTCAGTGCCAGCAGCACGTACACCAGGCTCAGCACCAGCAGTATCAGGCCGTGCGCCGGCGTGCGGCCCGGGCGAATCGAGTACAGCTTAACGGCAAACACGCGCACGCCGATGTCCTGGATGCAGCTGACGGTGGCGCCGACCAGGGTGAAGATGAGTACCAAGTAGAGGATGTAGTCGAGCGGGTACAGTCGGTCCGACTCAGAGAGAAGCCAGTCCATCGGGTTGGGCAGCTGGCGCTCCGGCAGGATGTACCCCGTCTTCATACCCAGCGAGTGCAGCGCCTTGTCGATGTTGCTCAGTAGCAGGGCGGTGAAGGTGACGGCACCAGTCACCAAGACGGTGATGCCCAGAACCACCTCGAACGGACGGAAAAAGCCACTGCACCTGTTCATCCAGTTGCCGACTGCCTCATTGAGCTCGGTCTCGCGGCGTCCGAGCACCGCTTCTTCCCGCTCCAGGGAGTTCAGTCGGTCCACCTGCCACGACGGAAACGTCGAGTAGTTGGCCTGGTCCCTGAGCGTGTTAATCTGGAGCTGGAGACGGCGGCGCTCCTGACGCACATCCTCGCGCTGCTCCTGGACACTCTCCTGTCCGCGCAGGAGGCGGATGGGCCAGAGGGACAGGCCGAGGCCGGTGTACCCCACCACGGCGCACATACCGACCAGGCTGAGAGAGTAGAGCAGGATCGAGATGACGTCCTCGCCCGATTCAGTCTCCAACTCCTCGACGAGGAACTCGAACTTGTGCCAGGTGTGGTATGTCGCCCCCTCCTCCTCCTCGCCCCTCCCCCAACTTCCCGACAAAGCTGTGTGTGGGCTGGTACACCTCACGCTCGCCCCACGAAGGCGCGCCTTTCTCGGGTACTATACAATGCACCGGCTGCGTGTCTCCAGTCTAGCTTACACGGGAGTGACGTCACTGGTGATGACCACTGACGTCACTGGCGGCGATCTGTATCTCAGCGCCTATCGCTATTGGCTGCGTCTGCGTGTCCTCAGTGGCTGATGTGCCCTTGAACCTCGGCGCCGCGGTACTGTGGAGAGGGTGGTTTTGCATGTATGAGAAGGATTTCGACTTCGCTGTCTCTGTGCTGAGCCAATGACGTCGGAGAGCGATCGCCATTCATTGAATTGCCGGTGAGATGTGAATCTGTCGTTGATTTATTTAGCTGTCAGTGACTGCTGATGGGTTCCTTTTCCTGGTTCTTGGCCCATCGGCCACCGTGCTCAATGCTCATAGCAGCCGTGTAGTACTGCCACCATAAACACCCACGCTTGGCATGTGATCTAGCTCCGTGCCATCTCTAGCCAGCAGCAGTCAACCAACCTAACACTGCCCGCCGCGGGTCCTAGATCCGCTGGCCTCGGGGCACACAGACTTCGACCGTCGGCGCCGGAGCGGGGACCGTCGCCATGTGCCGTTCATATCGGTCGTGGGAGGTTCCCAGAGGGCCTCCGGCGTGGGACCGCCGCCCCGACGGATCCCGGATCCGGGATCTAGGATTCGCGAACTGGTGGTGTATGGGTCCGAGGGTTAGAGACATGGCAAGGAGCTGGGACTACAGACGACAGATAGGGTTGTATTTCTTGAACGAGTGGGTGATGGTTGGGACTGAAGTGGGTGATAATGAGGTCTGGGATTATGGTAAAGTTGAAACACAGTGCGTGATTGTTGATACCTTGAGTGGTTGATGGCTGATATTGAGAGGTTGATAGTCAGACTCTTACGCTTTATTTCAGCTACTGGCTTGTCTGTCGTGCCCGGTCATAGGACAAGCCCGATGTGATTAAATGAACGGCGCCTTTGACCCGTCTATTTCTCAGCAGTTGAGACGCGTTGTTGCGACCACCATCACCTTGGAAAGGCCGGTTTCCACCTGAGCTGTGCGCAGACGTTGGGGCGGTGTTCGGTGGAGCGTTGTGGCGCCGCTTTAGGATATCGGTGGTCGGATCAGGGCGGGCCGGGGCTGGCGCTGCGGGTGGAGCCGGCCAGCCGGCCTAGCTCGGCGCGCTGTGGCGACTGGTCGGTCGGGTGGTGCAGCTGGAGCAGAGCAGCAGTCTGTGTCTCCCTTGTGTCTCCCTAGTCGTGCTCTGTGGAGCGGACGAACTGGTTGGAATGGTGACCGAGGCGTGCCATCAGATAGCACCACCCTTCGCCGTTGAATCTTTCTTGGGGTCGGGGGGTTGGTGTCTCCAACTCCTCCCCCGCCCCCGCCCGCATTGCTCTATGTTTGGAGCCGGCGTGACCCCGCACCGTACCATGGGCGTTGGGCAACCCACGCAGTCCACTGCGGACCCCAGCTCTGCAGCGCGCACCATGCGCTGTCCAGCTATGGGCGGCTCCACCTGTGTTTGGACCGAGGCGCCGTCGGCGCCACGCGAGGCGGGCTGGGCGGTGGCTCGAATACCGTCTCTGGAGGTGGCTATGGGCGGTGGCTCTAGCGCCGTCTCTGGAGGTGGCTGTAGCGGCGGCTCGGTCGGTGACCTGTGGCCACGGGCGGGGATGGTGGGAAGTCGTGTCGGGCGGCGGCCGAGCGGTGACCCGTGACACCGACGGTGACCTCAGGAGACAAATGGTGAACCTTTGGTGACAAGTGGTGACCCTCGGACGGCTCCTTATGGGTCACCTTTGGGGACTAATTATGAACATTGATGGATAGTGGTGATCTGTAGCGAGTGACAGAGACCTGTGGGTCGATAGTGAATTATGGAGATTGTGATGAACTTTGGGAACTGCCAGAGGCTAATTTTGGTCTCTATGAACCCAACGTGACCTCTTTATCGCCCAATATCGTCACCCAATGGGTGACGACACTGTTGACCACTGACGTCAGATGATGGCCCGCTGTGTCATGTGGTCGGTAAATAACCCCCCGCCCCTTTATCACATGGTGAGTCGGTGACGGCCTAAAAGTGTTGCAGTTCTCGGAAGCGATGCTGATCTTGGCTGCTTGACACCCCGGCTGTCAGGGTGCTGCTCTCACCCTGTCGCTTGTGAAACTCGCTACGGTCCTCTCATGGCCGGTCTTTGTTGGTAATGAATGAAGAAATGAATGAATGAATGAATGAATTGAATGACTTGCTGGCCGGCCAGGTGCTCATGCTTTGTTCCAGTACTTATTTACCGATCTGTGACTGGTGAGTGGTGATTCAATATTTGTACGACGGTGTGACCTCATGGGTCCAATCGCGATACCACCGCGCTGGGGCAATTTAAGTGCAACCAACCGCTTACATCCACAGGTGTTTCGGCTAAACTATTTTTAGACCAGTGCCATTATTTTTCGGGCGTTTGGTCAGCGGCGTTGCGCACGCATTACATCGCTGGACGGTGCTGCCGCGTTATCGGTCGTTGCCTCGGTCTGAGATCAGTGTGGGTCCCAGATGTGTAGGGCCCAGGCTGGGCGTACCGCCTGACAGCGTTACTCGTTACTGGCATGTCGGGGGATTCTAGCGACATGTTTTCGTAATATCTCACCTCTCTCTCTCTCTCTCTCTCTCTCTCTCTCTCTCTCTCTCTCTCTCTCTCTCTCTCTCTCTCTCTCTCTCTCTCTCTCTCTCTCTCTCTCTGTCTCTCTGTCTCTCTGTCTCTGTCTCTGTCTCTGTCTCTGTCTCTGTCTCTGTCTCTGTCTCTGTCTCTGTCTGTCTCTCTCTCTCTCTCTCTCTCTCTCTCTCTCTCTCTCTCTCTCTCTCTCTCTCTCTCTCTCTCTCTCTCTCTCTCTCTCTCTCTCTCTCTCTCTCTCTCTCTCTCTCTCTCTCTCTCACTCTCTCTCTCTCTCTCTCTCTCTCTCTCTCTCTCTCTCTCTCTCTCTCTCTCTCTCTCTCTGTCTCTCTGTCTCTCTGTCTCTCTGTCTCTCTGTCTCTCTGTCTCTCTCTCTCTCTCTCTCTCTCTCTCTCTCTCTCTCTCTCTCTCTCTCTCTCTCTCTCTCTCTCTCTCTCTCTCTCTCTCTCTCTCTCTCTCTCTCTCTCTCTCTCTCTCTCTCTCTCTCATCTCCCCTGAACGTTCACTACGCCTTAGCCCTCTTCCTCTATCGGCTTTGCCGTCCAGCGTCATTCCCCTAGAGGAAAATCGCCTGGCTCTCAATGCGTCATTAGGCGGCGTTAGTTGGCCTGACTCACAGGCCGGCCTTCATATATCACTAGTATCCGTCAGGCCCTCTCACTGGTTGTCCGGTTGTCCGCTGTCTGAGCACTCAGTGTTGGAAATGGACGGAGGCTGGTTGTGGCGAATGGGCCGGCCGAACAGCTGACTGGCTGACGTGGGAATTTCATGTCAGGTAGTAAGGTCGTATGTAATGTAAATTTCAGCGCTACGGTTGTTTATTTATCCGGATGTTAATTTCCAATAATTGGTAAATGACACGGTGCTGAGCTGGCCGCTGGTCATTGGATAGAAACAGGACCGTGATGGGAGTGGCCAAGGTTGTGTGACTGTCTAGCTTGCTGCCATATCAGTGAGACAGACAAAACAATCTGCATTTTTGTATTTGGCTATAGCTCACATTCCTAGTATTGATTATCGCTCAATCAGCAAATATATGTCCCACTTGACACAACTGAATACTGATAGTCCTTTCCTGCCGCCATTGATTAGTCGATGCCGATATTTTGTCACCCACCGTCCTCAGCCGCCAAAGGTTCAGCGCTGTCACCGCCAGTGACCTCAGTGAACTCGGCTGCTGTTGTGCTGCCGTCAGCGATCACGAATGCCCCACTACACAATGCTAGAGTGCCGGATCTGGGGTGATACGGTTCTAGAGTGGGCAGTATCCTCTCACTGTTTCGTGGCACTAGCGGGAATAAATGTGGCTGAATGTCGTTAAGAACTCGGTAGCTGAAGCCATCCTATAGTTAGTATGTTTTGCAATCTAAGGGCGGCTGATCAGACCAGAAGAATTTGCATTTATTATCCAGTCTTCTGCGAAGATCATTTATGATAACTAAAGACTTCAGTTTCCATAATTGAGTTATGCTGATGAAAGCCTCGCGGGGATTGAATTAGTACCGAACAGTAAGCCAGTTAGGAGTTTGCTTGTGCAATGTGCATATGCATTACCCCATATTGCTGCCTGCAGCGGTTCACCTTAGACACCATGCTGTCGTATCGAACCTCGCACCTCATCTCCGGAAAGAGTGTTCGTCTGTGCCTGCCTACGTCCCCTGTCCCTTCTAGCTGGTGGTGGTGGTGGATGTTCCCGGTACTGAGCGAGGGGTGACAGTCGTTTGTTGTCACGCTGGCAGTGCCTTCCTGCAGATCCGGCAGATTTCAGTGGGGGACTGCAGTTATCTCGACGGGTCGGTGGCCGCGGCGGGGCTGGTTGCTGGTCGCTGGTGGCTGGTGGTGCTGGTTGGTTACTGGTTGCTGACTATTGGGTACCGGTTTTCAATATCGCCTACGGCTCCTCATGATCACCCGATCGCCGATCATACAACGATCTCCCGACAAGCCGCTGCTGAAGCCTGCACAGTGCACAGCCAGCCTCAACTACAAATCACTGGCTCCATGCCGCTCCCCCTCCCCCTCCCCCACGGTCACGGCCGTCCGGTCGATAAGGAAGCACCGTGTCGTGCCTTCCTCGGCACCTCGCCGAGCCCCGGGGCGCATCTGTCGGCCGTTTTTGTACCCGTTCGTGATCTGTCTGTCGAGCGGGGCGGATCTAATGCATACCCCTGCACCAGGTGTGACACCGTTACTGTCACGAAACGTACATCGGCTCGGCGGGTTTGTGATAAAACGGTATTGCTTGTCGTGACGAGCTCATGGGGTCAAAAACGTTGTAAGCTTCATTTTATTGACAGCACTGAAGAGGTTACTGTTCCGGAAATGAGCGAAGCTTTTTTGCGTGTTGACGATATGGCCTTGGTGATGACGGCAGCGGCGGCAGAGGCGGTAGCAGCGGTTCGCTGCGACCTTAGTTGTTTCAGGTCACTGGATTACCGTTGGGTCATCGGGTTATCGCCCAGTCACTGTCGGGCCACTGCCGGTTCATCGTTATCTTTTTCTTTGACGAAGTGTGTGGTAGCTGTTCTAGACAGCAGGTCAAAGGAGTTCAGCTTCAGACAACCGTCGGACTCGGCATGTTGTGCCGCCAGAGTTCAACCAGAGGTCAATGATCTCTGGAATGTGTCCCCTACTGCTAGGTCAATAGCATTAGCAGCTGCCCACCGCTCCTGCCCTAACCCCATCTGCCCTCTGATTCACGACAAAACAAACACATTATCGCCGCCTGGCCTGGTGAGCTGGGGTGAGCGGTTGACGGACCAGCGGGCTGTGACCTGTGCAGAGACAGGCAGGATGACTGGTGGTAGAGATCAGTGCTTTCGCCGTGTGGCAGAAATCCTTGTGGAATGATGAAGGTTGTTCAATGAACCAAACATTCAGCGAATTTCGTACAACGCTCCATAAGGTAATCCGCTTACTTACAGTCATAGCAAAGGCAGAGAGCGTATCTGGCTATACAGACGGGAGAAGAGGGGAGAGCTAGAGAATGGTGCAGGCAGAGGGGTTTGACGTGCGGAGTGCGGTGGCGAGAGACGCGGCACTAGTGAGACGATGCGGAAGCCCGCTCGGAAGCGGTCTGACCCGATGCGAACCGGTGGAGACGGTCATCGCTCCCTGTTCTCTACGGGAGGTGTTGGGTCGGGTCTGTGGTCGGGCTTGAAAGGTGATGTGTCAGGCTTAGGCCGGTCTGGTAAGCGTTTTGCCGGTGTTCAGTCCGGTATGTGCTGGTTAAGACTGAGGTCAGTCTGGTTCGTGTCCGGTGAGATTGAAACCGCTCTGATGGCTTTACTCAGGCTGGTCGGTGGTATAAAAGCCACATGTTGCCGCTGTCTTGAACAGTCGGTGATTGTGGTACGTGGTTATTCAGAAGAGATGTAACTCTGAGTTTGGTTTCGGAAACACTTCTGTCCGAGCTCCAATGCGAACCCACGCATACGGCGCGGGCGCGTGTGGGGCGCTGTTCACTCATCCGTTATCAAATGGCGAACATCCGCACTGAATCGGACGACGACCCTCCTCCCCTCCCGCTGCACTCACGCAGTATGTTTATCTGTCCGACCGTCCGTCTGGCCGCGTCTGAATTTGTATCGGTGTGTATCTGGGTCTCTCTGTCAACATCTGTAATCTTGATGTCTCTCTCGCCTGCCTGTCTGTATATCCTTCCGTGTATCCCCGCCTCCGCACGGTGCCAGTCTGGCGTCTGGGCGGGGCGGTGTCTGTCCCGTGTCGTGTCAGGCCGTGTCAGGTGCCGACTCGACACACCAGGCGGTGATGGAGCGCATGGCACGGGTCGTGTCGTGTCGTGTTGGCGGTCAGACCCCGCCCCGCCCCGCCCCGACGTATGGAGGCAGAGTGACAGACAAGCTTATGTAGAGACGGTGAGAGGGAGGTGGTGACTCCATGTCTCCGTCTCCCTCCATCATGTTTCTTTAGGTGCCTGGCAGTTGGCGGTTCTCTGTGTAGGTATGCTCACGACGAGCCGTAGTGGTAGCGCGAGTATCGCGGTCCAACAATCAGTCTGTTTGAAGAACGAACACGTCAATCTTAGCCATTTCTCTGATAAAGTACGAACTGTGTGAACGTAGTAGCATCGTATCAGCAGATTCAACCCCATGTGACCTATCGTCTGGTCGCTGTGGACAGGTTTCGTCCAATGGATTACTGTATATTTGGCGTGCATTGAAACAGGTGCGGTGCGGGGCGGACTGAAGGGCGGGTAAGGGAGGGGGAGGTACGGCGAGGTCACGCACCTGTAGTTGTCAGGGGCCGGGGTGGGTGTCATGGTGATATGATCTTTTCTGGCTGGGTGGCTGCAAGATGCATAGACAGGTGATGAATTGCAGTGCATACGGCGTCTGACCATTCATCGTTACAAATTATCAGGAGAAATGAGATACGAGCTTTCAAGGCATGTCGGGCTGTTAATCGATCGGTCTCTTGGCTTGGTAGGGCATACTGTGCTCTCTTCGAGATTACCCCGGTCTCCACACAGGACTATTCCCCAGCGTTGGCCGTAGTCGGCTGCACGAAACCCGCCAGCTGGTACCGGCTGCGCCATGTTTCAGTACCCACGGTGCCCCTGTGCGCGTCAGGCACCACCAAAAGCCGTGGTGGCGGCTGCGGCGGCTCGGCCGACCTTGCCTGCCTTTTATGGGCGACCGGGCGCGCGGCCCACACAGCAGCGCGACGGCGGACGGGCGGCTCCCGGCAGCCGTCGTCACCACCGTCACGAGCTCCGTCACCGCCGTCACAGCCGTCACGACTGCCGCCAGCTCTCCCAGCTGAGTCACCGACCCGCCATCGCTGGCGGATGACGGTGCGGCAGCGTCATCGGCGGCGATGACGGTGTGTCACTGTCACTGGCGAGCGGTGGTTTCGGGGGCCTTTGAGGAATGCACGTCGTTTCGTCCGACTACCTGCCATAGGATATTTGATTG